GTGTGTGTGTGTGTGTGTGTGTGTGTGTGTGTGTGTGTGTGTGTGTAACTCTAGCAGATTGTTTTAGGAGTAGATTGGAAAAACTATTGATGTGTTTAATAAGCAGTGAATCATCCTACAGTTGTTTTCTGTGATCTTTTAAAGTGATTTTAATTAAGATTTGTTTGCTGGAGGTCTTTTCGTTCCTCCATCTTCAGTTTTTCTTTGGTTCTTTGTGTGTTTCAGTCCAGTTCCTGACTGTTTTAAGTACAGTTTTAATCTGTCAAATGAATGTTGAAAGACATTTCAGGAAGCTGGGATTAATCCAGAGCACTTTAAAAGTACAGACAGAAATGATGGTCAAACTTTATTAATAAARTTCTGTATAATCATGTATTGCAAAATGTATGTATGTGTTGGATAACAGTGATGTGACGCTACACCAAACCGTCAATCAAACAGAGCTACACATGATGAGRCTGCCTGTCATGGCRGSGGTGCTTTCTTTTTGGTACAACACCGGCTGATCCCAGAGGACGCTGACCTAAATATTTTGGTTGCTTTTGAAGGAATGCTTMATATATAATATTTTCATATAAATTTGTGAGGATGCCTAAATCTGTTGTACCCCTTCCATCACTCAGGGCTGTTTAAAGGCACTTTGGGGGTCCTACGCTAAAGGCCTCCCTCTGCCCTCCAACCAAACCTGAATGATCACTCACTCAGTCAGGTATCACAACATAGACATATTTGATCGCTTAAGCTGACCCATCTTTTATGTCAACAAAAATATTTTTAGAGTGCTAATTTTGCGTACATTTGAACACTTTTAAATCCCACCATCATCCCATGAAAAAAGGACACGCCCCTTACAACAATTTGCAAACATTGCATAAAAATAAAAGTAAACAGTAATGTTTGATTGTGAACATAAACAATACTTCAATCCTGTCCAAAAAAATGATAATAATTATAAACAAATAAAAATAACTTAAAAAGCACACATTGTGTACAAAAAACGAAAGTGCAGGCTGCAAATTTATTTGAAAATCCAACAGAAACAGAAACCATATCCACACACACAATTAACTCTCTCACTACCATCATCAGCAAAATATTTAAACATGATAAGTCTCAGTCCTGTGAGCTTCACTAGTTTCATGGTGGAACTCATACATGTTTRGTTAGTGGGAGGGGCTTAAGAAGGATTCCAATAATAGTGTTATTGCACTTTCCTGCACTGACCACCATACAATTTAAAGGGACACTCACACAGTTTGTCGTTGCATTCAAGACATAACCACTTGTTGTCTGGGGGCAATTGCCAAGTTTGCCTGCCATCATTCAACTATGTTTTTTTTCTTTTTTAAAATACATTAGTGATCAGTCCCCACGCGACCCTGAAAAGGAAGAAGCGTGTACAGAAAATGGATGGATGGATGGATGGATAGTGATCAGTCCTCACAGAAAGGAAACRTTAAGTATACAAAGTTTTTGACACGTGATCAAGTTTAGTACATGTTGCAAAATCCCAAAGGAAACATGAGCAAAACAGACTTTTCACATGTTAATTATCACCTGCTGCCTTGAAAGGTGTGAGTTCAAGGAATTGYATGTGTTTGTTTGTCTGTTTAGGAAAATATCTCATGAACCAGACAGATTTTAATTAAACAGAACGTAGCCATTGCATTTGTTTAACYTTTGGAGTAAACATGATTCAAGATGGCCGCTGCAAACCTTAGCTAACACAAAAAATGTCTCTAACTCCATTCATCTCATTGATATTAAGCTAAAGAGTGGAATGATTCCCATCCACACTTCCACCAAAGAGCCTGACGATACCCTTCATTTTGCTTTGTGATTCACTGAACACCTTGTTCTGAGTTTACTGGTGAACCAGATTTCTGCGCTCCTTCATTATATTCAAGGACATTAAAAAGTTCTGACGCAGTCTCCTTTTACTCGAGCGTAGCACTTTTTTTTCCCTCTTCTTTTTATTGATTTTATCGATGTTCTCATAAACCTGCTGTGCTGCTCTGTGATTACAAGAGCTTCGCTTCAGGCCTAAAGACTTTGGCCGAGTGTCAGCGTAGCTGCTGGGCCCTCTGAGTCATGCACACGAACGCAGCGGGGATGATGAACAAGCAGCCCCGCAGCATCATGGGGGTGGGGGGTGGGGGGGTTGTCTTCAGCCGAGTTGCCAACAGGTGTCGGCCCAGATCTGACCTGCCCCCCTCTCCGTTTGCCCGTGCTGTGTTCTGCTGTGTGACAGTGCACGTCGATGCAGGCAGAGGCCTGACCACGGCCTTCTCAGCCTGAGCARGAGTCGGACCGCTCAGCACTCACAAGACTTAGAGGATCCGCTCCAGCTTTACGCCTCTCATGCACCAAAAAGCTCCGAGCTGGGACTGGAGGGAAATCTTTTATTTATTTATTTAGTATTTTTGGACTCGCTSGTCTTTTTTTCTCCATGGAAACTAGAACAGCAGTCAGTTCAGGTTTGGTTAAAAAAAATCCCTGCCTGAGCCTGGAGCTGCTCTCCTGTACGGAGCCCGCGAGGGGACATGGGAGATTTTTTTTCTTTTGCGTTCCCTCGCAAAAGTAGTTCATCACTGTTGTGCCTGCCAGTTTATTAACAAACTCACATGTTCATCATTAGCAAGTTAGCCTACTGCTTTAACTCAGCTTCAGAATGAATAKATCACACAGCCACGCATGGAAGTATGTCATATGCTGATATTTTAACACAGTGCAGCCACGCAACATCAAYGTCAATTWCATGAACTTGTGGCGACACATCCTGTTTTGGTAACCGGATATTTCAAAATAAAAGTCTGATTTAATTCAGTTCATATACAAAACAATCATTTGCGTGGGAAAGCAAAACAATATTGCGAGGGAACACAAAAGGAAAAAAAAAAATCCCCCAGTGTCCCCTC